TACACCCCTTGGACACAGACGATACCCCCCCCCCCCGCTGCCTGCACCCCCCCAGTGCCAATGTCGAATGTTGCTATTAAAAACACCCCCACCCACCCCTCAACCCTGTTGGTTTTTTTTTTTTTCTGTTTTTAAATGTTGACCCCTCGCAGCGCGGCACCAGCCCAGGAGCAGACGCCCTTCCCTAAACCATTTGCGATTTTTGTTTTGTTTTTTTTTTTTTTTTTGAGATTGAAGTTCTATTCGAATCCAAGGTTTAGTGTTTACCCCTCGGCGCAGCTCTAAGTTTGTAGCTTGGTTTCAGTTGATGGAGAACGGTGCCCTGCCTGAGAGATCGCACGCGCCGGAGCGAGGGAAGCTATAGGATGATACACGGCTTTTTGTCCTTAAAGGGATTCTCCGAAGCGGGCACTCCAACCAGCAGCGGGTCGTTCCTGGCATGTTGCTCGCAGTAATTCATTAGTTCGGAAGATGCTTTCGAGACCTAAATGTTGCAAGAAAGCAAGAGATTAGTGAGAACGTCCAGGTTGCGGAGGAGAACCCACGCGCAGCTTCTCGTTAACAGAACCTTTACGGAGACGGTGGCAAACGAAAAGGGGAAACGGACAGGGAAAAAAAAAGGTTTCCAAGGTCTGGCGTAAATAAAGCCATGAGTACGGTAAAAATAGGCACAGCAAAGAGCAAGAGGTTTAGAAGAGGAGATTATTGTCCTCCTTTTTAAGGGCTTTGGGATAAAAAAGGAAGGCAAAAAGCCTGCCCGAGAGTGGCCGTCCCCTGATGTTCAAAAGGGAGGTTTTGAAACCATTCAAAACTATTACTTAAGGCTCTGCTTATTTTAGTCCAAAAACGTCTTCTGGGAATTGAGAGCCCCGAGCAGCCCGGCAGAGAGGGGACCACGGCGGTGGGCATGGGGAGAGTCCAGGCAGGGAGGTGCCAGCAGCTTTGGAGACCAGTAGCAACCCCCTTTTTTTTTTTTTTAATTAACTTAATAGCTGGTTGAACATAAGGCAAACACAACCCAGACTCAACCACACCACATCTGGAAGGCCCAGATGTGACCTGTTGTGGCTGCAGAGCCTGACGGCAGCGGTTCCCTTCCTGGGATCTCCGTGGCTGCTCGGCACCGGGACGACTCGCCCCTCTCAGCC